AGAGGAAGGCCGAAGGTCCAGTGGAAGGATAGTATAGATTATGATATGCGGGACAAGGGACTAAGGGAACAGGATGCTTGAGACAGGAAAGAGTGTAAATGGCAAGAAAGAAACAGTGACCTCTTATAGAAAAGAAACAAAAGTCAGGTATAATTAGAATATGCAGATGTAATTATCTTATTGTAATTACCTAATTGTGCTTGTGAAACTGTGATATTAGTTAGTTGTGGTTAGAATATTTAGAGGAGTATTAGCATGTAAAGGTATTAAGAGGTAATCTGATATAGCAGATGACGTGAGGACATTGTTATAAAGGATAAATAGAGTAAAACCCTGAGCCTGGCAATGGTTTTTATTTTATGATAAAGTTGGATTGGAATTACTGCAACTAAATAATGATTTGAAGGTCAAAAACTCACCTTGATATAGATACTTAATTAGGCTACATTTTTTGTATAAGCTGTAGAGGAATTCCTCTTTGCAAGCGTTTATTTTTTTTTCAGAAAGAATAAAACAAGCAGCTAATTTGGTGCTGGTGATAATGATGTTATTTGCCACATACAACCATTGGATGGTTGGTGATAAGTTCGAGAGATTAGCGCCATCATTGGTGAGTGTATGACCCAGTTGTATTTCTTTTTAAAAAATATTTGTAATTGATATCTTTCTCATAGATATATATGGTCGTACTGACTCATTTTTATAATTTTAATAAATCATTGTTAAAAGATATCTATCCTTATTGATTTTTGTCAACCATTTCAGCCCATCAAGTACGACATTGAAATTTTTCTATAGGCATATCATATAGAGAGTTGTATCTTTTAGTTATCTATATAGCAAGTCAAATATTCTATCTTTCTATATACAAAAGCCATAATCCCTCTTTTTGGGGGTTGTGGCTGGGTCACAGCAAAACCCTTGACTCTTCGTATGAGGCAAATACAAAGGTGGAGATTTCAAGTCTCTTTACTCTACCCATATCTAAAGAGACTCATATTTTGAATTTTTGGCAGGTCTTCTTTTTCATGTTAACATGCAGAATGATCGTGGAGTATCAAATAAAGAGGAAAGAAAAGCAAGACAAAAACAAAGCGTCATCAAACGATTCTGCCAAGAATGCTGATACTTCACCCGCGGCAACATCAGTATCAAACACAAAGTCTAAAAAGGCGGACTGAAGTGCAAAGTGGTGTTTTGACGAAACTTGTGTTTCGCCATTATAGTTTTATTTCTATTGATACTGTGAAAAATTCAACCTACTTAATGAACTGTAGAGATTTTATTTACTCGCACTCTGTTTTTTTTTATGACACTTTCAGTATTTACAACATCTGGATCTTGTGGAAAAGAGTGTCCAGGGTGCCCTAGGTCTATTCATGTTTAGAAGGCAAGTCACATAACCTAACCTAACTTAACCTCTGCGAACCAGACAGTTTATGGGGTTATTTAACTTTACTTGGGGTTCTAGGGGTTACTTATCTTTATGAGATCTCAGTTATTTTACCACTTTTAATTCGCAGAGGTAACTTCAGGACTTTCTTCTGTGGATACCTTAAAAGGTTGAAATGATGTGGCCAAACTGGCCTATGCTCTCTGAGCAATTGCTTATTCTCCTCATGTCATCACGTTCTTGAGATATTCTGGTTTTTAGTATTGTTCATCTGTGTGAGGTCACTGCACATAATTTTCACAACGTCAATATTGTGCAAATACACAATGCTCTATAACTCATCAGTATTAACAATATGTAAGATAACAAACCCTAATGACTAATACAAGGGAGAGATTTTTTTGTGTGCCAAGATATGCTTTAAGTCATAAGTGTAATTTCTTTTAGGCAGTTATGTAATATTTTAGGGTGTGGTTACCATTTTATGTGTTACTCTTATTCCCCATTCGAATAGAGGTTGCCACAGACAAGTGGAATTTGGGATTTAAAACTGGATGCCTTTTGTAACGCCCTGCTGTGGGGTACGAACGCGGGTTTGTCACTTCCCCAGTCAAATCCTCTAAGCAGTGTGTTTCCGTGGTAGGAAGGACATCTAGCCTTAATTCCGCGGATCCAACCTATCCCTGTCCACTCTCATTTGAATGGGGATTAATAGTTACTCATAAAACGATAAACAAATAACTTTTTAGGGTAATATATTGCTTTATTTAGGTAAGCAACTATGTCACAAGTGCTATAAATTATAAAGCATTTTTAGGTTGTGTTAACATCTTGTATTCTTGCTAATGTATTTTGAATATTTGACATCTATTCCTTTTTTTTCTTGTAGGCTTTGTGGATATGCAGTATTTCTTACTCATATATATATATATATATATATATATATATATATATATATATATATATATATATATATATATATATATATATATATATATATATATATATATATATATATATATATATATATATATACGTAAATATTTCCATTACAGTATTACGTGATTACTTCAACGTCATATGTTTATAACAACAATAAGTATTACT